ACTTACCAAACTGAATGACTTCTTTAGATCTTTGTTACTTCTCCCACTGGGAAGCGGAGTCATTTCCTTCCCCTGGAATCTTAGCAGGTTTTAGTGACTTGCCTCACCAATATAACATTGCAGTAGTGACATTCTGTGATTTATGAGGCTAGGTCCTAAGAAGCCTGTCAGCTTCTGTCCAGACCTCCTAAGAACTCACTCTTAGAAGCCTGCTGCTATGCTATGATGAAGCCCAAGCAGCCCACAGAAAGAGCCATGAGGAGAGGAAACGAGGCCCCAGGAGACAGCCCTGGCTGAGCTCCAGGCCAAAAGCCATGTGGGGAACCATCTTAGAAGTGGATCACCCAGTCAGTATCAGGACACATGAGCTGTGTCCACCCAGCCTGCCTGACTTGCAGATCCATAGACCAAATAAACGACTGCTATTATTTCAAGCCATCAGGTTTTAAGATGGTTGGTCCCACAGCAAATAACTGCAGTCTACCTTTCCAAAACCTTTATGGCTGAAAACAATACCCAAACAAAAGTAGCGACATATATCAAACTGGCTATTCATTATGAATATTTGCATGTTTATTTCACTTACATATTGTATTTTATATTTTTAAAAGTAAATGAAGAGTTCCCTCTAATTTAAAAAAAAAAAAAAAAAAAAAAAAAAAGGCAATTAGACAAATTGCTTTAAAATGCCTTCAACCCCAGACAATAAAAATCTTATTATAAATATATTAGCATTTGGTTCGAAACTCTGTGAAAAGAATTAGGCCCTCCAGCTTCTACAGTTCTGTGAAGGCCTTCTAAATATAGGAAAGCAAAACTGAAATTTGTGTCAGTTTGTTAATGGCATCACTTAAAACTATAACAGTTAATTAACTAATTAACAACTTAATTAACTCAGCAGTTAATTTACTTACTTGAGTTCACTTAAATTTCCTAGATGTGATTTAACAAACTTTCAGTGTAATTTCTGACTAGATATGTAAATTGTATGATATATATCTCTTCGATTTTGAATTTTTTTAAAAAATAATATCGTTTAAGGAGGAACAATAAGCCTAGTAGTGAGTTTTCATTTTTTTCTTCAATAGGGAAACTCTCTGAACTTCTGGCATGTAGCAAGTTTCCCATCAACCTTGCAAGGGTATTTTTTGTTTTTGTTTTTGAGATAGGACTCACTGTGTCATCTAGACTGGAATGCGAGGGTGCGATCTAGACTCGCTGCAACCTCTGCCTCCCGGGCTCAGGTGATCTTCCTACCTCAGCCTCCTGAGTAGCTGGGGCTACAGGTGTGTGCCACCACACCCAGGTAATTTTTGTATTTTTAGTAGAGATGGGGTTTCATGTTGGCCAGGGTAGTGTCGAACTGCTGAGCTCAAGTGATCTGTCCACCCTGGCCCCCAAAGTGCTGGGGTTATAGGCATGAGCTGCACCCCCCAGCCCCACTCAGGCTTTTTACTTTCAAAAAGAAAATCATATTTGGATTTTTCAGTTTGTTTAAATGAATCCAAATAAGATTCGCAAATCAGCAAACTAATGTGAGCAAATTTCATGATAGTGTATTAATAATTGATTGTCCTATATTCTTAAAAATGGATGCTGAAACAAACAATAATTGAAAAAAATACTGTTATAAAACATTTCTCTGGCCCATGGATTTACTTCTTTAACCAACATGTTTATATAGCAGCAGGTAATGTCAGGTTCCTCAGTATGTGGCCCATCATCCTGTGCTCATCCATGAGCTGTTTTTACCAGTAGGAAATGAGAAGAGTACAGGAACTAAGTGTTTAGACATATTTGCAGGACTTTGAGAGAATAAATGTATATCTATTGACTATCATAAAGAGAGATTTGGAGGCCAAGCACAGCAGTTCATGCCTATAATCCCAGCACTTTGGGAGGCGGAGGTGGGCGGATCACCTGAGGTCAGGAGTTCAAGACTAGCCTGGCTGACATGGAGAAACCCATCTCTACTAAAAATTCAAAAATTAGTTGGGTGTAGTGGTGCACACCTGTAATCCCAGCTACTGAGGAGACTGAGGCAGAAAAATCACTTGAACCTGGGAGGCGGAGGTTGCAGTGAGCCAAGGTCATGCCATTGCATTCCAGTGTGGGCAACAAGAGCAAAATTCCGGCCGGGCACGTTGGCTCAAGCCTGTAATCCCAGCACTTTGGGAGGCCGATGCGGGTGGATCACGAGGTCAAGAGATCGAGACCATCCTGGTCAACACGGTGAAACCCCGTCTCTACTAAAAATACAAAAACATTAGCTGGGCATGGTGGCATGTGCCTGTAATCCCAGCTACTCAGGAGGCTGAGGCAGGAGAATTGCCTGAACCCAGGAGGCGGAGGTTGCGGTGAGCCGAGATCGCGCCATTGCACTCCAGCCTGGGTAACAAGAGCGAAACTCCGTCTCAAAAAAAAAAAGAGCAAAATTCCATCTCAAAAAAGAAAAAGAAAAAAAAAAGAGAGACATTTGGGCTTGTATTTTAGCTTGTATTTTTATTTCATTTTTCTAATCACTCGTTTTTATTTATTTATTTTTGAGACAGAGACTTGCTCTGTCACCCAGGCTGGAGTGCAGTGGTGTGATCTTGGCTCACTGCAACCTCCACCTCTCAGGTTCAAGCGATTGTCCTGCCTAAGCCTCCCAAGTAGCTGGGACTACAGGTGTGCACCACCACACCCAGCTATTTTTTTTTTTTTTTTTTGTATTTTAGTAGAGATGTGCTTTCACCATGTTGGCCAGGATGGTCTCGATTTCCTGACCTCATGATCTGCCCGCCTCAGCCTCCCAAAGTGCTGGGATTACAGGTGTGAGCCACCGCGCCCAGCCTTTTATTGTGTTTTACAAACATTCTCATCTGCAACAGATTGCTTTTTTTAAAAAAGCTGGTTCTTTTTCAAAAATAGTTTGGGAAGCACTGATTTTACTGCGGCAAACAAACATTGGATAAAAAATGATCCCTGCTAGCTTTGTGCAGTGGCAGTATTGTAGCCAATGAGGTTTATCCGAGGCATGATTATTGCTAATTGAAAACTTCCCAATACCACACCATGACGACTTGAAATACAGTCAGCATTGGCAATTTTTGGCAGTCTCTATGGGGACTGAACTATCTCATTTTTTAAAAATCCCTGCTTTCATAAAACTTGCATATTAATAAGAAGGGCAGGTTGTGCGTAACTGAAGTGTAAACAACATGTTCTAGACACTTAGAGAAGAAAGATGATTCCACAAGGGGAGGTAACAGAAGGCTTTGCGGAGGAAGCGATTGTTGAATGAGTTCTTATTTGATGAACGGGTAGAGTTTGGGGAGGTAAAAATAGAAGAGGATACACATTTCAGACAGAGTGAACAATGGGAGGGAAGTCAGGGGAAGAAAATGCAGCTATGTATTGGGAGGAGCATGCAACCGACCTCATTTGGTAAGAGCAGAGGGAATGTGATAAATCTAGAAGGGTAGACCCAATTGTAGAAGGCCTTTTGAACGTGAAGCTAAGAGGCTTGCACTTGCCTGAGGTCATCTCCAAGCTGCCGCTGAAAATTTCTGAGCAGAGAAATGGTGTTCATAAAGTTGTGGTTATGATAGATGAATTTGAGGGGAGAAAAACTGGAGAACTAGATGAGGAAGAATACCCCAGATTCTTCAGGTACAACGAGATAGATTCAAGTCATCTTAAGAGCCTGCCAATTGAGATTTTAAAAGGTATACTTTTAACTCTTCCAAAGTAGTGATCAATAAGTGAAAATACAGCAGCGGTCTACCCCAGAAAGCTCCTGAGTAAGTGACGAGTTGCTTTTCATGTATGTATATAAATGCATATATACATATATACATTTATAATGCATTAGCTGTGTGCATTTTAGGTCCAGTATCTCATGTAATCATCAAAACCACTCTATTTCAGGTTCTATTAATCCCCATTTTACATATGAGAAATTTGAGGCTATAAAAGTTAGGTCCCATACTCAAGGTCACCCACTAAATAATAAGAGCCTAGAGCCAGGCACGGTGGCTCATGCCTGTAATCCCAGCACTTTGGGAGGCCAAGGTGGTTGGATCACCTGAGGTCAGGAGTTCAAGACCAGCCTGGCCAACATGGTGAAACCCTGTCTCTACTAAAAATACAAAAAATTAGCCAGGCCTGGTGGTGGGCACCTATAATCCCAGCTACTCAGGACACTGGGGCAGGAGAATCTCTTGAACCTGAGAGGCAGAAGTTACAGTGAGCCAAGATTGTGCCATTGCACTCCAGCCTGGGCAACAAGAGCTACACTCTGTCTCAACAACAACAACAAAGCACCTAAACTTAACCAAGTCTGTCTGATGTCAAAGTCCCTTTTGGCATTATTGGATGCCAACCAAAATGTAAACACTCAAACATGTTAGGCTTTCCCTGTATAAAGGAAGATTTAGGAGAAGACAGTTAAAATCCATACCAGCTGCTGGGCATGGTGGCTCATGCCTGTAATCCTAGCACTTAGGCTAAGGGGTGGGGGGCAGATCAGCTGAGGTCAGGAGTTCGAGACCAGCCTGGCCAACATGGTGAAACCCCATCGCTACTAAAAATACAAAAATTAGCCAGGCATGGTGGCAGGTGCCTGTAATCCCAGCTACTCAGGAGGCTGAGGCAGGAGAATCACTTGAACCCAGGAGGCAGAGGTTGCAGTAAGCCAAGATCGCCCCATTCCACTCTAGCCTGGCGAACAAAAGCGAGACTGAGTCTTAAAAAGGGGGGAAATATCCATACCAGCTATCTACTTGAACATTATGAAGCCTATTCTTTGGGAATGTCTGGGATTTTATCTGTGTTTCCATCTGAAAGGTAAGGCTACAATGAACAACAAGAAGTTGATTTTTCTTTAGTAAGAGCTGAGAATATTTTTATATCTATAAACTCTTAAATATTCTTGCTTTGCAAAAGGACCAACACAAGTTGTATAAAAAGAAAAAATCTTGGCTGAGTGCAATGGTTTACGCCTGTAATCCCAACAA